CTCCCGTGAGAATGGCAAGACTGACATTGATGAGAAGTTGTCTATTGTGATTACGCCTGTGTTTACTTTCGACTTCGGTTCGGATGCGATACTTCATGGCTAAACCAATTATGCAGAGCATACTGGGCCATTAGACCGGCGCCACCGAATGGCGAAGGATTCGTCTTTGCCGCCAATTCTTCGTCCCCTTCCTCTCCCCTGGCGCGAGAGCGAAATATTCCTCTGGGCTTGAATGCCTATCAAGTTTCAAAGCAAAGTCGAAGTGAGCCAGGAGGCAGAGGTCCAAGGCTTCCAGGCTCGCCATTTCCACCCTCTCAAGCCATCAGATTCGACAACAGCCATGCTTGGTCTACGAATATGACTTTAAACATCCTCTCCGATCCAATCACTAGTCTCTATACAGTTTTATAGTGTTGGAAATCTAAACTTAACATGTATGAAGGTTTAGATTTCTAAGTATGATTATGAGGACCAATTGAGTTGACTCGACTGAATATGATTAAGTGTTGAATTATAAAAGCGTTGGTCAAACATAATTATCCCTGTACCTTAACATAACGGAGTTATAGCTGTGATTCTTTTTTTTTAAATCATTTAATGTGTATTCAGCTATCTAGCTATGACACATGACCGGTGCTATGTATACATGTGGGATGACTCTTTTGACGTTAGAGACACTCATACTCTGGATTTCATTTGCAAATACCACTATGAAGTATGCTCGCTTACACAAACAGTTGACCCTCCTCCGTAAGTACCCACCAAAGGGAATTTCAAAACCTTGGGTAATCCAAGCATGCCTTCTTCATTCATGCATACCAGCGCCGCGAGAAATGTGGTTGTGTTTTGCCGGATTTGAACCAGCGATCTACTGTCTCGAGTGGAATATGTGTCCAAGCTATCCAGACTCTACTTGGCAGACCGGCCTAGACGATGTACCACCGCACCATCCAACTATGGCGGTGTTTATAATGTCGCTTGCACTCTCGCAACCGAAGTCTTGGCACGTGCAAAGCTCAATTTTTATAAACTCCTTTCCAAATTTCAAAATTCCACGCCCGTCGAGACTGTATCCATCCGTTGCATCATCTTTTGAACCTGTCCTGAGTCTTCTCACGCCAATCCCATAGAACAGTCTCCCAGATTTGTGCGCCACGCTTTGTGTCCTCCGTCGGGTGTAAATATCGGCGTGGGCGTGTATCTGGTGACCAGCTGAGGCCAGAGAAAGTCGACGAGAGGTGTGATCATTGGAATGAGAATGTACTAGGTCGTACTTGTAGACTTGATGAGGCTTAGGTAGGATTCGATCTTTTTGGGAGTGAAAGATTGACATGGTGGAGTAATTTGAATTTTTGTCTCGTGGACCAACTTCTTTGATATTGCGAAATTTGACTAAACTTGGCTCTGGGAGAATATTTCACTCCCAGGTTCGTAGAGGACACCGCGTACAGGTGTTCAGTCTTGCCCTCCCGATTATTATTTGCATAGGAGTAAAAAGGGTAAGGCGTTTGGAGATCTTACATACCCTGTATTAGTAGCTCCATATTTGCGTGTAGATGAGCCTAGTAGTGGAACGTTGGTACGAGCTAGGCTGCAGCATTCTTAGGGAATGCTGTTATGATGTGAAATCACTCAGCCAATTAGAGAAGCTGTATCAGATGATATGGAGATCTATACGAGATGTGGTTGGTGCAGTGACATCATAACAGTTGCAAGTGGATGATGTGAACAAGAATGTAAACTATTCTATAGCATATGATAGAATATCTTACATCACAAGATAGAATATTCTACTAGCAATTAGATAGATGAGCTTTAGGTATAAATAGGAGTATTTTCCTCCATATAGATAGCAATGATCAGGAAACGAATCTAATAAAGCGAACACATATCATCGTCCACTTCATAATAGTGTCAAGCACATATTGATAAAGCCACTGTTTGTATGCAATTCCCCTCCTCATAATCACAATAAATGCTGAGACTATAGTAACAATACACGTTTGTTTAACCCTATACTTTATCGAATCTACTTCCAGCCACACTGTTCCATCCATCTAAAGGAATCATAATTTAATATTAAGCTCATTTAGGCGAAATAAGGTTCTGTGTGTCCTGGTCATGTGCTAGTTTGTAATATTAACTAGAATTAGCATCATTAGGAGTTTTCGGTTGGAACAGGGGACAATCAACTTACATCTGACTTAACGACTTACCAGGCATTCTGTGATACTAATTAAAGGCGTGCTTTGAGTCCCTAGTCTATCGTAAGACACAGACTCACAGTTCAGTGGCTAGGAAATTCTACCTTGCGATAATTGAGTGGTTGGTTGTTGCTAGATCACTGGGAGTTCGGGATCACTAAAGCCTCGGGGATCTGTATTTAAGGATAGACTCATATATGTAAAAATAAGTTTACGGAGTATAAAATATTATTAATTCATATTGAGAAGAGAGTTCGATATCATATACAACTATCAATAAAAGCTTGTCCGAAATTGTATACTTGTTCTTCGAGATATTTCCTCCTAGAAATCCTTGACAATTTCTAACATATAGCACTGCTTGAGTCTTCGGCCTTCCAGCACATTGGAATTCTCGCTGACCCGAGCCATACTTTGAGCCGTGTCCCCTCCCCCTTCAGTTTCGAAGAAAATCTCTGAATGAATTACTGGCATCGATGATCAGTCGGCAAGATCAGTTTTACTACGTTGGCCTGTCTAAAAGCCCAGTATCATGACAGCTGAAGCAGCTGCATCATTAAAAGTTGAATAGATATGGGAGAAAGTCGATATGGTAGGAAGCTAAACGGCGTATAAGCTTCTCAAAGGGAGTCCTTTTTTGCCGAAAATAAGTTTGATAATCGTGATATCATGAATCTACATAATACTAGAAGCAAAGCTGTCGTTGATAAGCCGGCAGCACCGAGCTCATCCCAAAAAGGCACAATGACCTTGGATGCCTGATTCAGGGCTAATTAACCTTGAGCCATGTGTCCTGGGAATCAAGTGATATGTGGATAGAGGGATATGTAGAGGGATTGCACATTTGCCTTGATACCTTAGAGATGGTGTTTTAGTAAGAGACTGGAGATACGATGAGGCGTAATTTGCTGATAGATCACCCCTAAGCATGATCACACTACTATTCCAAATCCCATATACGGCATCGATATTTTCAGGACTCACGCAAACGCTCCCCTTTAAAATTCATCGATGAATCATCCATCGTCATCGGCCTGAAATAGTGTCGGTGTTGGTTGGACCTGTACGCGGTTCCTCAAATGCGTTTCCAACGTCAAGTCTTTATGGCCATTCCTGAGGCACGCAGTGCTTGGCGGCACTTTTGTAGGACATACGTGACGGGATTGATCTATTCGGTTCCTTATATCTGCGCCAGTATGGCAGGGATAGAATCTGAAGCCTAGCTAGCTATAGGGGCTACTAATGTTGCAGTCTGGATACGGTTGCTTAGCAACACAGACCGTTATGATTCGCGTGGAGCTTATAATTATCCTTGTCATAGCTAGGCAGCCATAGACGATGTGTATGAAAATAAAATCATAATTCTCTATGCAGCGAGCGGAGAATCATTTTCCTACGCCCTCTACATTCAATAATACGATTTTATTCTGGTTTTGCTCTGTTGTATAATGAGATCAATTGTTCCGCTCACAAGATATAGTTACTAGTTTCTGCACATTAATCAGGAGTGGCCATACCGTGCCTCCATATAGCTAGATATTCCTGCGCCATACCCATGGCAGCTCAAGTAGATTCAAGGGCGTACTGACTCGTGATATTCACATCTTCAATTAGGCTTGCTAGCAGTATAGACAGACCATGGACACTTCATGTTAGCTCGCAATTACTTTTCGCATGCAATGGCTGTACTCTATTTCGAGTGTGGCACAGATACACCAAAGGCCCAACGCGTATTTGGCCTAAGAGCTACATCCTCAACACACACGAGGGCTGGGAAGCAGGGAGCTGTCGAAGAGCTACATCTAGTCGAGCTCTGAGTCTATCGTAAAGAGCCGAGATTTGGTGGGAGTCCTAGGCGCTTGGAAAACGAAGTGATTTGGCCGAGTGCTATGGCGCAATAGCTGGCAAAAAAGAGAAATTGAGGCTCAGGAGCCTGGTGGCCGAGGAAGAGAGTATCGAATGAAAAAATTTTCCGCAGCGATGCATTGTGTGTTGGCAATTTGCCATTCTTTTGGGCAGTTGGATGCGTCTTGCTGTAACACATAGATGCGTTTCAGCATGGATCCGCTCATTAATGCGAGGTTAGGGTTCCTATGTACCTTCTAGCAGTCATCCTGATCCGACCCATCTCCACTTATGCCCAAGCTCCGCTAGGATTGTGACGGGTGCCGCTCATCTAGCACTTTGACATCAAAACAATAATGCTGTTTGCCACTTCCATAGCTGATCTGTGTATAGCAACCAGTTATTCGCTTTGACTTTTGCGTTGTGTTCTCAAGCAGTTCACTATTCCTGCTACGGGTCGCTGGCGGATAAAATCGAAGACTCGCTGAAGATGCAGAAGGGAAAAGTCTCGCATCCGTACAAGTCACGAGACCATATCATGCTCAGATATTATGGCAACTAAGGGCACGAGATCAATAGTTAGGACGAGTCTTTGTCTTGAAACATAGTATCGTCCACAAATTCTCCTACCGGGTAGTTTGGATCTATATGATCATGACTCAGCTCCCGCAATATCAGAGAAGCGAGCCAGTTGATATCCATTGGAATGGCCCACGGCTCACATCCCATTGTGAATTTGCTTGGCACCAAGATTCATAGACGTATCCCCAGCCTAAGAGGATTGCAGATGACTTGCTCAGCGTCATACCTGAAGATAATCCTCTGGATATCGACGTCAGGACAGAGTGATTTCGTATCAAGCAGCCCAGTCACTCAATATATTAACAGTTCTATCAATCCAACTTGCGCCCTCAACCCAATTCATCCATTCCCAACTTCAGAAAGCAAAACATGAACTTGATCAGCTACACTCTACTCTTGGCGCTGCTGGGCTATCCGATTTCTGCGGTCGTTGTAAGACAAGACGATGTACGGATGGGAAGCATCAGAGTTCAACCAAGGTCACTAGGTCACCCAGCACCAGTCCTGAAACCCGAAGATAAAGGAGTCCTTTGCGAGCAAAATCGATTTTATTCCCGAGAGCATCTTTCAGGCGCGGCCGCGAAGGCTTTAGAAGAGAAAGAATCCTGCAGAGCACGAAATGTTTTCTGTATGTTCCCCATGGCTTTCGCCGCCTATGAATATCCGACTCCGGTATTACCCTCAATCTACCCGGTCCTTAGTGATGGGACCATCTACGAAAGTAACAACAGAGTCTTGCCCCATGTTTAGCTTCATAACTGATCTGTCTAAAGATAATTCCTATCTCCAGGGTAACCATGATCGCGTGGTTTTAACTGCGACTGGCCAAGTCTTGGGCGCGACTACCAGCAAGCCGCTTGAGGATGGCACGGGAAATTATTATGCGCCTTGCGCAGTTGTCGCCTAGATCGCGCACAATTCCATGCCAGTATAATGCCATGAACGCGAGGTTGGAATAGCATCCGTGTGTCTAATGTGCCAAATGATCAAGGCCGAGTCAGGCCCAGCCAACGTCAAAGGATAGTACGGAGGATGAGCTAGGCAGGAACTTTGGAGTCTATTTCAGGGGACTCGGCTTACATTTTACATTAAATTGCTTCGAGTAGAGTCCAAATTTTTTGTTCTCGAGATTTTGTTGTGCGGGTACATGTTACGGCGCTAGGAGGTGGCTCTACAATTGATTCTAGGGTTGGAAGAAAATTATTGCAGGTTGAGCCCGGTCTCCAGACCAATTTACTTTTGAATTTGATTTCATTTAGGCCGATTTGGCGCCTACGGGCCCATGCAGGTGTCTACAAACTCTAATCTTTACATGGGAGGAAATCATTGCATTGGTTAAAACCCCCTCAACTTTTCAAATTATTTACACTTTGATTCTGTGTTATCTTCAAGAAGTGCACTAAGACTGTGATGTTCAGTGCGGATACCGTCGACTTCCCTGTTACTGGTAGAAGTTTATCCTCCTTCTACCCTCTTCTCTCGCCCTCATCGTAGCCTCGACTTCAAGCGTCAGTCGAAACTGTTCTAGCTGCCCTTCCTGCTGGATCCATCTAGCAACCCTTGCTATATCTTTTGGACTATTCATCATGGCCTTAAATGACCGGTTCTCTGCCTTTCTCAGTATCTCCACTCTCCCTTTGGCCCAGTTGGTACAGGCCATGACCATGTGCTTCACATTCTGGATCGGATATCCACATCGGCATCGTGGACCGTCTGCTCCTGGAACTTTTCTTCGGTGCAGATAGGTATTGAACCCTATGTGTTTGCTTCTTATCTGCATGGCTATGCTGCTCTGAACCCTGCTCAGGTGTTTCTGGAGACTGGAAGATGTTGCTCTCTGGTTCATTCTTGTCCTTCCCGTCTCATCATCTGTAAAGATACTTGCTGCATTCTAGATTTTGGCATCTGCTGTCGGGTCTCCAGACCAACATTGCAAATCGAGATTGTTGACTTTTTATGCAAAGTGTATGGCTGAATAAACGGGACGAAAGTCAAAAGCCTCATTGATCTGGCTTACTGATCATTAATTTTCGCCAGAAGTTACTGATGTCGAAAGTAGGATCAATGTGAGGTTGGCTGAGTTGGTGCATGACCGTATGCCGGTAGATCCCAACATTTGTTTGGAAGCTGCATTCCGCGACCATTTTGCGTCAGTGTCGCGGCAAACTTGACATCGCTGGGCTACGCGGCACGCCAATTTTGAGGCACACACACTTATATGTACATATGAGATGTCTTTCTTCATGCTCGGTAGCGAACTTGATAGTCGCCAGTTTCCATTTAGGCGTGACTCAGATAATGAACATACTTCCACTGAGCACGGCGTACCAAGGACGTCTACTGTCGGCAGGCTGGCTATCACTGGCAAAGGCCTAAGCCTCTTAGGCGCAATAAGCTCCGTCTTTCAAACTGCCAGCCCTTCGGCTTGACTCGCTTACCTTTACACTCAATAGGACCATAAACATATTGACTTACTAATCACCTTACGTAAACACCATGGCAAGTTGGCACTTTTCAAGGAATTCTCTGGGTCAGTGTCATGGCTAGATCAGCTGCATGCACTTGATTAATTCGAGAAAAAACTTCCAGAGTCCATGCAAATGGCTTCTGGTAACTACGCGTTGGAGAGTTGGTTGGATAGCGCCGTAGTGCATCATACGGGCTGCTCTCCCACAGAGACTCAAGATAGTTCGCACTCCTCTCCCTTTTGAGACAAGAGATGGCTGGCTCAAATCCAGCAGGTCCACGCTGCTTTTTCGCGCTACCCGCTATTACAATTGCAAGATGGTGCGTAGGGATACTACTGATCTAGCCGCATGGATGGGAGATTGAGGGGTGCCATTATGTAGTAGCTAGAATCTGATATGCGATTGTTTGTCGTTATAAGGCCCGTAGGGAGCGCCGAGCCGAAGCTCGGACCCGATGCTAGGTGACGGTACGTGAGCTTCTTGCAAACTTATGTCGAAAATGACATTTATTTTCTATCTGTAAAGAAATTAATCTACATGGGATTCACCAGAGTATGAAGACTCCGCGACGCGACGCACCTTGAACTTTACATAAGCCATTACATGATCCTAACTAAAATAGGCATGACGCCTGTTGGGAGCCGGATAAACTCCGGTTCGAGGTAAATGAGGCAGCAGCCTCTAACACCCGCAGTTCCCACTAAACTATCGAGAGGGATGGACGCCCGCGCTAACTATGTCGGTGGCTTGGTTCCTGCTACAGTAAGACCCCAGTTGAGACGATGTGGTCGGGGCCCTGGAAAATATCGTCATGTAGAGGATATCGCTGAAAAGGATATGATTATGTCATCCAGCTATCTAGCCTAGCTTGTACTTCTGATGCCTCTTCTAAACTCCCAATTGCCGTCTCTAATCGCTCTAACACTCTCAAATAGCTCGAATTAAGAGAATCTGGACTCTCAGTATGCTCAATCAACACTTTCAGAGGCATTTCGGCCTCTGATGCTGTCCGCAAAAGCTGTTCGTCTTGATTTGCTCCAAAATGTTGCCCTATCACGCCTCGTAAGATCATTGTGTGTGTGTTTGTGTTTATTGTGCTACTTGAGTCTATGACTATCTAGCACATTGGGCTCCTCTCTGACCCAGGCCACACCTTGTACAGTGCTCCTATCCTCTTTTGTTACATGAAAGATCATTGATATATTCCACTTGATGAATAGCCATTCAGCTCGGTGTTTACCCGTGGAATTCAGTCACCTTTTCCACGGAACCTTATACCCAAAAAGAGTAAAAATGGCAGCTATGGAAACTTCGTGCGCGGGAAAAAGTCTCAAAAAACCTGCAGCCCCGGCCAGGCGAGGCCTAGACACCAGCGCCACATGAGGTGCGCATATTCATCTATATCTCCCTTCTTTGTAACAGTCGAGGCCGACTTGATCCAATCCACCATCTCCGTATCGGGTGCTGGGTACGCTCCAGAAACTCATAGGATGGCTTTTCCTCCATGATCAAGGGTTGGTGATGAGTAGGGCTCCGACCCTACCATCTGATCTGATCGTGGTTAGCTTCATGATAATGGTGATAGGGGAATGTGTTGAGAGATGAAGACGATACAGACGGCGAAAGCGATTGGGAATCCTCGTCGAAGTGAGGACTTTGTTACTCAATCTCGGCTCTGCAGACTCTACAGTGAGAGCTGGAGGTTCGTAGGGGACACCACTGACAGGTGTTGAGAATAGTCCCCCTCGTAAGATCATTGCCTCGACAAGCATCACATCCCATTCCTCTTCGTCCTCCATTGGATTAAGAAAATTGTCTATTGCCATTGAATCTCATACGTCTCCTGCTCTGACTACCCCATTAAATAATCTAGAAAGTCCAGTCGGAAGTACAGGCGTAGGAAGAGCAATTAGCTTGGAAATAAGAGTCGATTTCCGAAAGCAATTGCAAATCGTTGTATTTATTACTTTGTTGTTCCAATTTTATAAGATGCAGAGAATTGCTTGTAGAACAAAGCAGAGCCAGTATCGTCTGTAAAATACTTTGCAGTTCTGAGTAATACCTTGATCAAGAGGTTGGTACCGGCTTGTGCTATTAGCTGGAAGCCAACAGATCTTGATGTTTGACCGAGGATGGTATGATTCAACGGCAGAATAATGAGCAGGAAGATTATCCATGGTCAAGAGTACATCACGGGCATTCCCAATGCGGCGATAGAATTCTTGAAGCCATTCGCCCATAATAGCTGTGTTCATCCATGCTTTGGAATTCCACCTCCACTTGCCACCCATTGTCTGAATACTAACGTTTTTCAAGGCCCGAGGCGTCTTATATTTGCCAATAATCCAAATGGGAAGTCGGTCAGAGCCTGTAGCATTCGCAAAAAAATAGAGAGAAACTCAGTCTTTGTTTTTCTGGAGCCCGGGTCGAGATTGTGACAATAGCCTACATGAAGGTAGCATTTTCAAAAAGAGACCTGACTCGTCCATATTATATATTTTCTTCCTCAAACTCTCCTGCAATTGTCTGTAAATCTTTCATTTCGGCTTCGGCAGCCGCTGGAATTGAACCAACTTCACCGTGTCGTACCCGATTCTACACATGGTTTCGTTCCTTGAAATTCTCAAGCCAGCGAGCGCAGAATTTAGGGCACGGTTGGCTAGCGTACTGTGGTAGTTGTGTCCAGATCTGCTTTGCCTTCTCACGGAGCAAATCGCCAGTTGTGATTCCTCCTCCTTGTTCAACTTGTATTTGACATGCCAGGAGAATACTCTCAAGGTCAAGCCAGTTTCTAGCTCGCTGTCGTAGCGCAGTAGTACTTGTAGCTTCGTTGAGTTTCGCAAAGGTATTGCTCAAGGACTCGGATACTATGGACTGGCTTAATTCATGGCCGTACTCAGCGAAGAACCACTCAATGCACTATTTTTGTGTTGGTTTTGGGACCTGGCGGTACACCCATCGTCGCAGAGCACGTCGTTGCTCCACAGAAATTCCCTTTTTTGGCGGCATTACCAGCACCAAGCTAGCAAAAAAACCCTGGTTAAGACGATATTCAGAGGCTGAAGAACGATAATCGAGTAATCGATTAATGTATGGGAACGAAGTCCGTTCCGGGAAATATATCGCATAAACGGCAATATCGGCTTAACCATGATCGGCTTACCCGGGGTCTTACTGTACTCCCTGACTCGGGATGCCGCACTCAATGTATCTAAGATTACGATAGTGAATGGCAGAGCTCACACCCAGAACTTCACCCCGCAAATACCACTGTTAGGTTTTTTCACTTAGACAGACACTGGAGCCTCCTCCGTGAGTACCCACCCAAAGGAACTTTCAAAATTCTGGTTATTCAAGCATGCCTTTGTCATTTATGCACCCGAGGGTTGCTAGAAATGAAATTCAGTCTTGCTGGATTCAAACCAGCGACCCCCTTTCT